TCCGTCCGCAGTCTGCGATTACCCGCTCAGGCCAGGCCCAGCATGAGGCCTTGCGGGCGCGGGAGTGATGTGAAGGCTCTCCTGAACCCAAGACTGACCGCAGGGTTGTGAGCCGTTTCTAACTTCTCCAGCCACTTGACAACCTTCTGATTTCCAGGTGCGAAGGAGACCTGATCATCACTGCCAGATATCCTAACCCCCAACACTTCGATGCTGTGGAAAAAGCTTCCAGACAGGATTGCTTCCTTAACCTTGGAGTGTATTTACCCTAACTCTTCAGCCCCTCTATCAGCAAAGGTGTAGGATAGGAACCAAATCCTTTTGCAGTGAGTGAGTGACTCAGGTCTACCAGTCCTACTGGAAGGATGGGTTATGGGTGGATGGCCTTTAGCCGCTCTCTTAAGTGGTCCACACCACTCTGATGCCTACATCTTTCCATCTCCACTTGACTTGTTACCCTACTCTGGTTTTCCTGCTTCCCTCTTCATCGGTGAGACACAAGGCTGAACCAGGGCCCTCAGGGTAAGTGACCCAAACTCAGAAGTCAGCAAAGGCCATATAGATTGAATTAGGTCTAGGGTCAAAGACTGATCATGCTCCAGATAGCTTAAAGGTACCTGGAAAGCCATAATGTAAAACCTGCTTTGTCCATGGCCATCTAGTTGCTCCAGTTCTAGCAGATGATGATACTATCCAGTTGAGAAATGGAAGGAGGCAGAACCCTCCTTTCACCCCAAATTACTCTACCCTTAGAAATACTCAGGTTCCACTATAAGTTTAAAATTCTGGTAGGTGGCTCACACTTATCCTCGCATTTGGAAGGCAGAAACAAGTAAATCTCTGAATTCAGCCCAGCTAAGACTATACAGTTAGGCCCTGTCTTAACAACAAAAAGACTGGTAGCACTGAATGTGGTAACATACTAATTCCAGCATGTAAGAGACAGAGACAGGCAGATCTCTGTGAGTTTAAGGCCAGCCTAGTCTAAATAGTGAGTTGCAGGCCAACCAGGACTACATAACAGAGAAACTGTCTCAAACAAAAGATTCTGGAAGGGGAATGTATGCCAGAAAACTCTTGAGCAGAGATTTTTGGATGTAGCAACAGCTATGAGAGCTCAAATTCTGAGACTGGGGAGCTCTGGCAAGAGAAGCTTGCCCAGTGGATAACTAACTCACTCCCACTATAACTTCCTTTAGAAGTAGGGATGTGCTTCCCACAAGGACTCCCATCTCATTAGTATAGGGCAGGTGGGACAGGACATGAAGCCACAGCAATGATATACCCAATTCCATGTCAATAGCAGGCACCATGCCCTGCAGACTTTGGTTCAGTAAGTCACATATTGCCCATGTCACTTTATCACCACTTTGCAGCAGGCAAATGGCATTCAGACTCCTCTATTCTGTTCTTTAAAGACCTGGATCTGGCACAAGACAATGTTCCCATCAGCAACCTATTTTTCTTCATTTTTTTCTGTGTAGTCCTGGGACCCATTTATCGTCCAGGCTGGCCTTGAACTTACAGAGATCTGCCTGCCTCTGTTTCCTGAGTGCTGAGATTAAAAGTGTACACCACCATGCCCAGCTACCATCAGCACTCTTTGTTCTTATCTGACTAGTGTCCTTGTTTCCCCCAGGAAGCCATTTTTATTTGATTTGCTTTGTTTGGAAACAGAGTATCAAATCCTCCAGGCTGCCCTGGAACTGGCTATGTAACTGAAGGATGATCTTAGATTGCTGTTTCTCTTGCCTCTACCTCCCAAGTGCTAGGATGACAGCAGTGAGCCAGGATACATAGCCCCTCCAGGAAACAGTTTAGTTCATTCCTACAGTGCTGTCACAGCATCTTGAAACTAGTGTGAAATGGGCTAGTGGTGACAGGGTTAGAGATCGCTCTCCTACAGCCCTTAGTACTAGCTACTACTTAGTAAGGTTACCAAAGTAGTCAAGTCCAGAGAATTGGGAGACTGAGTGGGGTTTTCTATATGTTGGTGACCTCTCTTGAGGGCTGAGAAGCTTGAGGCAGCTGTGCTGGAGGAGGAGATGGCTGAATGACATTCAAGGACCAGCAGTATCCCCAAACTAGAAGTAAAAGGTTCTTTGAGAGCCCCGTGCTCCTGAGCTTGCAGTTTCTCCTCTTCATTAGCCATTTTCTTTGCCCCTTCTCTTTTCAGGGAAAGCCCTGCTATCAAGAAAGACCACACAGGACTAGGACCTTCCCATGGACCCTTCTCAGGACACTACAACAGCACAAGCAAGGGTGTTCCCCTAAGACACGAGGGCCCTACGAACACTATCCTTTGAAGGGTGCCATGGTGGTCAGGAGAAGCAAAGGTAGCTCCAAGCAGTTGCCTGGCCTGGGAGGACAGGGTGGTTGTACAGGTCTCATAGTTATGCTCGGAACTGCCTTGCTGCTCATAAGCCTGCCATGGGGGGCCCAAGTGATGGCCAGTGCCAACCTCAGCACTGCTCAGGGCCACACTGTGCCACTGACAGGTGGTCACTATTTGAGCATTGGGGATGGTTCAGTGACAGAGTTTGAGTTCCCTGAAAAGAGTGAGGGTATCATTGTGATCTCTAGTCAGTACTCGGGACAGGCCAATGGAACAGGCCTCAGCCCTACACTGAGGGTTATATCCCTGGACACAGAGGTGCTGACCATCAAGAATGTAAGTGCCATAACCTGGGGCAGTGGGGGTGGCTTCGTGGTGAACATCCACTCAGGTCTGGCTGGGCTGGCCCCACTCCACCTCCAGCTCATGGACCTCCATGAGACCCCACCTTTGCTGATTGAAGAACGGAGAGATTTCTGCATCAGGGTGTCACCTGCTGAAGACATCCCTTCTACCCTCAACCCCAACTTGGGCCACTTCTCAGAGAACCCAATCCTCTACCTGCTCCTGCCTCTTATCTTTGTCAACAAATGTTCATTTGGGTGCAAAGTGGAACTTGAAGTTTTGAAGGAGCTCCTACAGAGCCCCCAACCCATGCTGTTGGGCCTCTTGGGCCAGTTTCTGGTCATGCCCTTCTATGCTTTCCTGATGGCCAAAGTCTTCATGCTACCTAAGGCCTTAGCTCTTGGCCTCATCATTACCTGCTCATCACCTGGCGGTGGGGGGAGCTACCTCTTCAGTCTCCTCCTTGGAGGAGATGTCACCCTGGCCATCTCCATGACTTTCATCTCAACAGTAGCTGCCACAGGTTTCTTGCCACTTTCATCAGCCATCTACAGCCGCCTTCTCAGCATCCATGAAACACTCCACGTGCCCATCTCCAAGATACTGGGGACTCTGCTGTTCATCGCCATCCCCATAGCAGCAGGTGTGGTAATCAAGTCTAAGCTCCCTAAGTTCTCAGAGCTGCTGCTACAGGTCATCAAGCCCTTCAGTTTTGTACTTCTCCTGGGTGGCCTATTCCTGGCCTACCACATGGGGGTCTTCATCTTAGTGGGAGTCAGGTTACCCATCGTACTGGTGGGCTTCACAGTGCCCCTGGTTGGCCTTTTGGTGGGCTACAGCCTAGCCATGTGCCTGAAGCTGCCAGTGGCCCAGCGGCGGACAGTCAGCATTGAGGTAGGGGTACAAAACAGCTTGCTAGCTTTAGCTATGCTGCAGCTGTCTCTGCGTCGCCTTCAAGCAGACTATGCCTCTCAGGCCCCCTTCATTGTGGCACTGAGTGGTACCTCCGAGATGCTGGCTTTGGTTATTGGCCAGTTCATCTACAGCAACTTGTTTCCTGTTCCATGAGGACCCTGGATCAAGTTTTATAACCCCAGCCCCCATACTCCATCCACTGTCCCCACAGTTCTGTACCAAAGGCCTTTTGTTCTCATGCACTATGCACTCAGACAAATCCAGGCTTTTTTTTTCCAGCTTTCAGTGCCAAAGAGGCCATGCTGAGTTAGAAATATATTTCAATAAAAGACAAAAGCAAGCTTGGGTCCCTTCCAGTCTTTGTCCCTTGGAGTGTATGGATGGGGATAGGAAGAGTGTGTCTGGGTTGATATGGACCAGGATGGTGAACAGGCTTGGTGACCGTGCACAGAGCCCACTCTCTCCTTCCTCTGTGCTTTGCACATGGTAGACAAGTGTTGTACCTTTGAGCTATATCTCCAGATCTGCAAAGGCTTTTCTCTATCAGAACAGGGCAGGACTCTGTTCTATAATGAGTGAAGAGATAGAGGCCTAGGTCCACTACTTTGGAGCCTCGGCCAGGATATTTTTGCAACCAGACTAGAAAGGAAGAAGTAGAAAGCCATTGGGCTATGGCAGGTAGGACTGGACCATTTCTGTATCTGAGAGACACTACTACATGTTTGCCCTGATGTGGTCCACCAGCAGGGTAGGAATTAACAGGTCA